AATTCGATAAACACTAGATGCTCATAGACTAGATGCACGAGGTAGTTGTCTGATAGACTTTCGATTATCCTTTTGTCAATGACCCAATACCACCACTTCAACTGCTTCATTTGGCACTCGACGGTCTACTTCATGCTTTGTGTTATTAACGTCACCTAAAGCTTCAAAGTTTTTTCTTTTAAACGTTTTCAGTTTAATGTATTGATGACTTACGTTTTTTCTGGATTTGTCTCAGCCTTAGGACACTGATTATTTTCATAGTATAGCTTCACTAATTTTATTCTTTCTTCACTAAAATATCCCATTTTAGAATCCACCATTGCACTGCATAAATTCAGAATTTAGTTAAATATTCTTACTTTTTACTTGAATACGATAAAAGTTATGACTTTATTAATAATATTCATTAATTTGAAATACCGTGCAGCAATTAATTTAAATCGAGATATGTGCAGGATGGTTGTTCAAGGGCTTCTATCACGTATAGTTTTTCTATAATAAAATGATTAATTTTCGCTTGTGAAATTTTTCCCATTTTCAAAAATATTTATATTTCTAGAATAAAAAATCCTCCCAAGACTATATAATCGCATTAGAATTTGAAATATTTTTACGTAAAATAGACTTGAACCCACAATGAATAATAATCTATTTTTTTCAAATAGTCCGACAACTCAGTTTTTATTACCCAAATATAATAAATTAATTTTAAACAAACATTACTTCACTATGAATCAAAACTCGAATTTCAATATCTAGAAAATAATACACTACTGCATGAATAGATAATCGATACAGATAACAGAGCAGAATCGTGCTATCACTTACACAGAAAACAGACGTAGAAGTGCAAATGTGATAGCGGTGACTATTTCTCTATGTTGCCAACTCACTCAGTTAAGTTCGTTTCTTGATATAGTTAACTCATTTTAGTTGATTTTAGTAATTCCAATGTGACACAAAATCTAGGCTTGGGATAAAAAAGTTTATTTGAAGAAAGTGCATTTTTTTTTATTAATGGCGGTAAAGACTCGTTTTTGTAATATTTTCTTTAGTTATAGAGTAATTTCCACATACTAACATATTTCTCAAATTGGGCTACGTACCGCCATTCTTTACTATATCACCTATATGTGTGCCAAATATCTCGTCAAAATATTTAAAATTAAAGCTGCAATCTTGGAACGCGTTTTCGTACATGTCAGTAAAATGTCAGAACGCTGACATTTTAGGCAGCTGCTCTGAACAATTGCCTTGAGCTGCAACCAAACCACTCTCAAGTTCTTCAAGCAAAAAACGCGTCTTCTTTTATTGTATTTTCCATTTCCCTCTCTCTGCCTGTTCTCCTTAACACTTCTGCATTCGTGACTCTATCTACATATTTGTATACTAACCTATTAAACGTTATTCCTAAAAAATTTTTATCAACCATTGCTAGTGCTACTGCAATTACGTTGAAAACGAAACTTTTATTAAAAATAGGTAAAAGAAATAATAAATAAGACTTACAATCAGTTTAATTTAACTATCTAAACCATTGATGCACAGACTTATTAAGATTAGGGGCCACTCGGGCAAATCATGAACTGATGGCGGGCCGGCCGCCAGAAGTATAGGTAATTAAAGACAATAAAGAATTGATAATAATTTATTAAAATTGAAAAATAATTTATTAATTTGAAGCGTGGCACTGCATAGTGCTTACAATCTTTTTTATATTTGGTTCAAATTTACTTGTAGCAACACGTAAAACTGCTTCCAAACTTTCATTTGCAAGGCGGTTTCGATTTTTTGTTTTATTATTATTTAGTATTGAAAAAGTTTGTTCACATACATAGATAGAACCAAAGAAGCTGGCACATTTCAGAGCGTTTATGTGCAACTCTTCGTAAATATTTTTATCAATGCAGCGGTAAAAGTTCAGCAAGTCTCCTTCGTTAAATTTGTTGCGTAAATCTTGGTCGTTTTGAATGTCGATAATTTCTAACTGCATTGACTCTGGCGCATTTTCATCTGAAATCGTGAAAGGATTGCTGAATATGTCCAACAGAGGTTTCACTTTTTTAAACTCCGAAAATCTTTCTTGAAAAGATTGAATCAAAATATCTAGCTTTTCTACATAACTGAAATTAATCTCAGTTTTGTTGAATTTTTTAGCCATTTTCTTATAATTCGGAAAATGACTGTAATTTCCAGAATTCAACTGTGATCTGAAAAGTGTCAGCTTGCGTTGAAAGGATGATACATGAGCGTAGAGCTGGGATATCAGTTGATTTTTGCCTTGGAGCCGTGTGTTCACGACATTCAAATGATTTGCAATGTCAACTAAAAAAGCCAAATCACACAACCAATCATATTTTTAAGTTCCGGGACATCCCTTTGCTTTTCCGCCAGAAATATTCCAACTTCTTCTATTAAATTTAGAAATCGTTTCAGTGTCAATCCACGACTTAGCCACCTTACTTCTGTATAATACAGTAAATCTCCGTATTCGCTTTCGATGTCATCAAGGAATTGTTTGAATTGTCTGTGATTGAGTCCTCGTGATTTTATGAAACTTGCAATCGAAACTACCACTTTCATGATATTTTGAAATTCAATTTTTTTAGAACAGAGGGCTTCTTGGTGTATAATGCAGTGAAACTGCATAAGATCTTCAGCGTTTATGTTTTTTTCTTGCAGATGTTTTTTCAGCAAAGTAACTAGCCCGGAATTGACACCAATCATCTAAGGAGCACCGTCAGTCGCAACTCCCGATAATTTTGATAAGTCCAAATCAGTTTTTGAACACTCATCCAAAAGAACATTGAGTATATCAACTCCTTTGGTTTGACCATTCAATGAACACATTCCTAATAACTCTTCTAAGACTTCAAAATCTTGAGTAACACCTCGTATGAATATGAGAAGTTGAGCTGTGGAACTAATATCAGAGGATTCGTCGAGTGCTAATGAAAAAAATTCAATGATCTTAGTTTTTTCAATTAATTGTTCCGCAATATTACCTGACAAAGATAATATTCGTCTTTGGATAGTCATACGATTCAGTTGAATTTTCTCAAACTTTTTTGATGCTTCTGGACACATTTTCTTAGCGGCAATTTCTATGCATTCTTTTTCAAAATCGCCATCATTGAAGCGACTTCGCTTTGCTATCATTCGAGAAATTTCATACCTAACTTCTGTAGCTGTTTCTGAATCTTGAATGGGTTTTGTAAACATAGCTTGCTGAGCAATAAGCTCCCGTTTTAAAGACAACATTTTTTGCTTTCTTAATTCGTCTGTAAACTTGATAAAAGAAGGATGCTGCGTTTCATAGTGCCTTTTTACATTATATTCCCTTGCAATCGCAACAGAATTCTTGCAAATCAAACAAACGACTTTGTTATGCGACCATACAAAAAAGTATTTCTCAGTCCAAATTTCTTGAAACTGCCGATTTTCATCTTTAACCTTACGTTTTTTACTAGGTCCTGGCTTCTCCATGTTGCGTTCTAATCCTGGCTAGGATTAACACAGCACCTGAAAACAAGTACAGGACCTACTTAAATTACCCATCCTTTTTTAAATTATCAAAAATAATTGATTGAATATTATTCCTAAGAAATTTTAAGATTTTTATACAGATTTTATATCTGAAATAATGACGTAATTATTACAATTAGAGAAATTCTGATAAAAATAGTAATTTCTTTGTTTTATTTTAATATTTGGCCAACATTAAAGCTAAATTTGATTAAATAGGTAGGGAAACACTTATTAATAACAGAGTTTTACTTACGATTTCACAACACAATTATACACGGCACTTGACGGGTTAACACTGCAATAGTAAATTGACGTGTAACTGTACTCTGTGCATACGATTGTGGAAGCTTCGTATTCCTACGCGAGCAATCGGGAATTCGGAACTACTGCTATCTCGCTTGCTCGCACCGCGCTAGAACATTCTTGATTTCTCTACTATTTTAAACTTTATATAAAGGCAGCAAGCGATGTTACTTGACTTGTGATGTTTTTGAGCACAAGATTCAAATAGCGCGCGTGAGATTCAAATTACTTTTCGAACATTTTTTTTTTTGGTTTTATTCTGGAATAGAATTCAATAGTTTTCGAATGTACAAGAGTATTATTTTTGCTGTCGGCGGGCCACTAGTATTCGGCCGTGGCCGCGGTTTGTGCATCCATGATCTAGACGACCGGTTTCGCTTTCTACAATATGCAAAGCATTTTCGGGTCTGTCGATACAAAGTTAATTAAATGCTGAAATAATAAAACCCATATTAGGGTATTGTCTTATAAAGATAAACAACAGATAAATGATATAAATTACAGTAATTATGCCAATATTACATGTCTGTGGTTAAAAAAAAAAATGTTTATCATTTATCTTTTGTTTATCTTTATAAGACAATACCGTAATATGGGTTTTATTATTTCAGCATTTAATTAACTTTGTATCGACAGACCTGAAGATGCTTTGCATATTGTAGAAAGCGAAACCGGTCGTCTAGAAAGTTAAATTAAACTGATTGTAAGTCTTATTAATTATTTCTTTTACCTATTTGAAATGGACTCACACAAGCAACACATTCATGATTTGAAACTATTATTATGCACTATCACAATATAATATTACAGATACTATAAAAGTAATAAAACTAAAAAATATTCTAAAAACAACAAACGTAAATAATCATACACGATCTGGCACAACGATCATAACAATATGGCCGAAGCGAGGTCGTTTTTAGTCACGTGATGCCCTCTCCATAGATTCTAACTCGATGTTCTAGACGCATTTTTGGCAGTTACTCATGAGAATCGGATCATAAAAAAGGGGGGGGGGGTAGTTCAGCTCTTTTCGCCTGTTTCAACACTGGTGCTGTATTCGTTTTAGTATTTATAAACAGAGGCTTTAATAAAAACGCTACCATGTAGTGATATTATTTTTTGACTTATTTACTTACTTATTTTACTATATTGAACTTTATTTTTAGGCTGCTGAATTGTTATACGCCCAACAGGTCTTGAAAGCGGATGAAGCGTTTAGACGTGGACTGATCTCAAAGTTGTGCTGGCCTGAAAAATACAAGGACACGTTAAATAATTTTTTGACTTCAGCCGCTAACGGATCGAGACAGGTAAATAAATGTATTTGTTTAGATCAATAGTCGAAAACTTTCAATGGCGGGACCAAATGGTCTTTTTTGGTGTTTAACTCAATTAATAATACGATATTGACGTTTTAGAGTCTGGAGGCGACTAAGAGAAGGCTTCGAGTCAACACAAGGGATCAAATAGAAGCAGCTATCAACGACGAAGTCGAGATCCTGATCGATCACTGGACGAGTCCGGAATGCCAGGAAAACTTCTCCAAACTCAAAAAATAATTAGAGCCCCGTTTATATATCAGAATATTTAAATCGTGTGGTACAAATGATTTTATTGAATGTGAAAATGGTTTTCCAAAAGAACTTTTCACGTTTCTAAAAAATATTTTTTATATTTTCATAAATTAGTTAGGTAAGACTTTATTACATCCTATATTTAGGATTTTATCTTTCTAGACGATTTTGTAGGATGTTCGTTTTGTTAGTTTAACATAAAGAAATTTAAAAATTTCACAGACTGTTCGTTTAGCGCAGACGAGGAGTTCCCAAAGATTGGTGCAATTTTTGCCGTATTTGTTCATATTGTGGACAAAACGAAACATTCTGGATACATACAATGTGTATAAGAAAGTGATGAACGATTTAGATTGTGTAAATAGTCACAATAAAAGTTAGATAACAGATAATTATATTTAAGATTATATATTCGTTGTAATACTTTTAAATAATTTCTATATACGGTACTGAGAGTTGAACAAATAACTTAACACGACATACTAACGTGAATTAAGAAAGTATGAGTTAGAATTATGACAGTGTTCACGTTAATATTTTAACCCCTTCCATACGGTGATGCACCCATGGCTGTTCGCTACGTACGGTCACAGAATAATAAACAATCAGAATGCCCACTCTCCATGGAAAATTAAGTACGCGCATCTCCTTCGCGCAGACGTTCCGCCATGTTTTAGAGGGATCCAGTGTAGTTTATGTGGTGTGCATAAAAAAATTAACCCGGTTTCATCGACTTACGGCAATCATAGACACTATACAATTATATTAACATTGTTAAATATAATAACATAAATATAATATAATTAAACATAAATATAAACAATTACATAACCTCACAAATCATCCTTTCTTTTCTTCTAAAACATGGCGCACGTGCTGAAAAACTTCAAAGGCGGCATCTGAGAGTGGGCATTCTGATTGTTTATTATTCTGTGGTACGGTGGTGAACACGGGTGCACCTTGAAGTGGGTAAGCGTGCGAATTCGTATATAGGTGCGACTTGCCGTATGACGGTCCGGCTCGAAGGGGTTAAACGATGCCTTAAACGAGGCAATTAGCTATAAATCTCTATATATCGTTCTTTCTGTTTAATTTTCTGCTATAGATGATCATTCTGGTTAATTTTGAGTTTTATGTAACACGTGTTACTTTCATAACCATAAGTTAGTGTCTGATTTAATTCTTATGGCTACATTTGGTTTAGCCCTCGGAATACAATCTTCAGCAACAAAAGCAGAAGAGTTAATAAGCAGTTCTCGTTTTAGGAATTCTTTTTAAAATGATTACAGTATGAAGAGGTAACTCCGAAAGAGCAAAGGACTTAAAAAAATTACTTTATAATGCCGTATGTTTTATTAAGTCCTCACTAGTCATAAAGTTGGAATATGGGTTATTTTGGAAAAAGTTCTCAACGTGACAATTAATACCACATAGAAACTATGGTTGTCTATAAGTTCTAATTTTGCTATTTAGGCATAGATGGCATCAAAAACAGTGTACATATGTTGCCAGGAGTACCAAGCTGCGTATCATAGTGTATACACCTGTATACATGCGAGTTCAGATGTGGTTTTGGGTGTTTTGCTGTCCAGGACTTATTTTCCACTTTCCCCATTTACGGCTGTGACTCTAAACAGTTTTTTCGGAATTTGTTTTTTATGTACTGCTTCTGGTTTCTTTTTGGAATTTAACTCCTTTGTTAACGTTTCTTGGGAACTCATGCCATATCTTTTTGTGTTTGAATATTTCATTATTGAACACGTGATCTGGTTGAAAACCAGTCGGATCTTGTTGAAAAACGGTTTTACTTGGGTATCAACTTTTCTAGATCATTTTTCAATCTGTGTTCTACCACTATATTTCGGAGTACATTAGATTACAATAGAATTTCCTCATCAATAGATGTTTAATTGATCAATATGAGCCAAGTTTTTCGGTATCACTTACCCTAACAAAAAGAAATCGCTGCCCTTGTACTAAAAAAAGATACACGTATGAGAACTACACTTTTCGCCAATCTCAATGGTCCACCCCAGATATTTTTATGTCCAGTTGAATAGTTTCTTCATCATTGCATCAGTTTTTAATTAATTTGGTGGCTGAAGTTCTTAGCTAGTTTTCTACGGTTTGGTTTACTTTCCTGTTGTAAAAACGCTGTATCTCTTACTATTGCCTTTCCTTTCCTTCCATATTACCCGTGTCTGTTCATCTTAATCGTCTCAATGTTTTTTTGCTTCAAAATCTTTTTACAGCTACAAAACTCATACCACACATCTTGGCGATATATTTTTGAGTTATTGATGTTTGTTTCACTAAAAGTAAAAATATTCATGTGAGTTTCGGGAATAATTTCATCTTCAACAAGAAGAAAATGAAGCCTTAATTTACTTACTTAACCAAAACAATAATTCTAAAAAACAACATAAACACAGCGCATGCGTATGAATCATTATTCACTAACTGTCAGAACTTGTCACTACTTTGGCGTAAACCTACTGTGAAGTGCAAAAAAGTGTTTTTGATTAATTTTTAAATGCTTAACTGAAATTGAACAAATTCTTATTTTTATCATTCGTTAAAAGTAATTTCTAGTTGATAACTATCATTTCTGTTAATATTTGAGTTTGATGTAACGGGTGGTATTTTCCAAAATATTTAAATTAGCCCCTGGTTTAATTCGTATGACTTGACTTCCTTTAACACTAAATATAATAGTTAAAATTCCCAGCAACAGAAGCAAAAACAGATTAAAGTACGTTACATCGGCTGAAAAAAATATCAAGGGTTCAATGAATTTGAAAGTCCAGAAAACTTAAGAACATATTTTGTTACGTAAAACGCTTATGAATGCACAGTAATGCTCATGGCAATCAGGTCAAGATTCGATTCTTGTTGTCACAAATCCTCTCAGGGAACTCGACAAGACATTTTGTTTTTGTAAAACGAGAAAGAATTGAGTTGAATTTTTATTCTAGAACTCAACAAATTGGTTCTAGAACGAACGTATGAAACTCCACAATTCGCTTTAAAAAAATGCCTAGATATTACTACCTGCCATAAGTGGCCAACATAACTATTACATCTAACATGCTTTTTATGGTATTCACTGAAATCTTAATTGCCTTTGTTATATTTCATTGGATTTCTTAAAAAAAGACTGAAAGAAAGTTTAAAATGAAACTTTTTAATACACATTGTATACGGTTAAATCTGTACATACATTCTATGTGTTCTAATAGATCGATAATTCTTTAGCAGAATGTTTTGCAATGAGATTTATACTCCCAAGAATTTGTACATTTAGAATTTCGGCGATTTACGGATTTTTGTAAAATTGGCAACATCGCAAATTGATTTTGGTTTTTGTACCAAACGTCATTATTTTCATTAAAGCTAAAAAATAATTGTTTATATATTGTTTTCATATTATTAAAGCAATTAATTTTCTAGTATTTAAACACATTGCAAACTTTGTGACATTATGGAAAAGAATATTTTTGACTGTGGAATACTTGAATTAATTAAGAAAACTCACGTTGTTTTCTTAACTAATTTTTTTTCTGTGTTCATGTACAAATTCTTGGTTTTCTATATTTTTTATGTTGGGACACCCACGTAGTAATAAGTAACTTGTACTTTCTAAAGACATTTTTATTTTTCTGCAAATTCTAGTAGATTCCGATGATGATTCAGTTTCGAACCAGTAAAAATGAGTATTTATTTCTCTCTAAATTTTATAAATAGTCCAGTAGTTTATATTCACTTTATATGCTTGTTAAATACTTGATTTGTTGTTTTATTGGAATTAATAAATAGACTGTACATACAAAGCTTTGTTTTGTTATTTATTTTCGTTTAATTCATTCTACCACAGGAATAATATTTTCATGAAACTATCCTAACCTATATGAACTAGACAATTGGACCACGTTATGCAGTATTTTTAACACACATAAAAAAATAATTAACTCACAACAATAGAACAAGAAAACTGGGAATTATGAAAGATGCAAATGGGAAACTTATGTTAAATGCTAACGACAAATTAAAAAGATGGACAGAATACATCAATGAACTGTTCACAAGGCAATAGAACAGAGCAGATGGAGATAGAAGTAGAAGAGGATATGGTTTTAAAGATATTATAAGAGGAAATTAAAATGGCATTAAAAACAGCAAAAATGGTAAAGCAGTACGTACAGACCAAATCCCTATAGAAATCTTAAAATGCATAAATGATGAAACCTTAGACAGTATAGTAGACTTATTTAACTCAGTATACTAAACAGGACACATACCGAAACAATGGTTATTGCAGAGAATACATAACATCACTAATAAGTCACATTCTCAAATTATTCTTGAAAATAATACATGGTCGTATAAAACTGGAAGAAGGAATAGATGATAGTCAGTTTGGGTTCAGAAACGGAATAGGAACCAGAGAAGCGTTATTTGCTTTTAATGTGTCATCTCAAAGATGCATGGACATGAATGTTGATGTGCATGTTTGTTACGTTGATTTTGACAAAGTAAGACATGAAAAATTAGTCCAAATTCTAAAGACAAAAAACATAGACCATAGGGACTTACGAATAATAACAAACCTCTACTGCAATCAAAGAGCAGAAATCGTAATAGATAACGAACCCAGTCCAGAAATTGACATCAGGAGAGGAGTTAGCCAGGGATGTATTATGTCCCCATTACTATTTAATGTATATAGTGAAGCCATTTTTAGCATTACTAGCAAGCATTACTATCTCAAAGTGAAGGAATAATAATTAACGGAAGATCTATTAACAACGTAAGATATACAGACGACACCGTGATTATGGCAAGCTCTGCTGAACAACTTCAATTACTGCTAAACAAAACAAACAATTTATGTGAAAAATATGGACTAAAAAAGACCAAATACATGATAATAACAAAGAAAACAAATATACCAACAAACATACATTTGGGAAATGTACCGATAGAACAGGTTGATAAACACAAATACCTAGGAACCTGGATTTCAGACAATAATGGTCAAACAACTGAAACAAGAACCAGGATAGAAATAGCAAGAAATACGTTTGTAAAAATGAAAACAATTCTCTGCAACAAAGACCTTAGATTAGAACTGAGAGAGTAAGAGCACTAATATGCTACGTGTTTTCGATACTGCAATATGGACTTGAAAGCTGGACATTGAAGCAAGAACACATAAATAAGTTACAGCGTTATTTAATTAACGGTTACAGTCCTTTGAAATGTGGTGTTACAGGAGGATGCTTAGAATAGCATAGACATATAAGAAAACTAACACGGAAGTATTGCGAGAAATGGGCAAAGAATGCCAAATAATAAACACAATAAACATAAGAAAGTTACAATATTTGGGACACGTAATGAGGGGACAGCGATATGAACTGCTAAGGCTGATAATACAGGGAAAGATAGGAGGAGGAAGAAGTATAGGAAGAAAGAGAGTGTCATGGTTGAAGAATTTAAGGGACTGGTTTAAATGCAGTTCTATTGAACTCTTCAGAACAGCAGTAGATAGAGTAAAGAAGAATGCAATAATATAACGGATTAAGCGCCAAAAATTCAAAATCGAGATAATA